CGCGGTCACCCCTTGCTTTGTCCCACCACTCTGCCTCATTTACCCTTTCACCAGGCTCTTGAGTATGCCTTCCTCACTAAACCAGGAGTTCCTTAGGAAGACAGACAGTATGATACTCATTTCTCTAACCTCCATTTCCAGCCCTGTGCCTGGGATACAATAGTGCTCAGTTGATATCTAATAAAGGCACTAACCAAATTATAGCTAATAAGAAGAGCCAGCATGTACTAAGTACTTACTATAATTCCTAAGCTTGTGCTAAGCTCTTTAAATGCATTATCTTAGGTCATCCCTATAAGAACTGTGGTGGGTTAATATTGTTACTATACCTATTTAACAGATGAAGAAACTGAGGCTCAGGGAGGTGAGGTGACTTGCCCAAGGACATTAAGCTAGTCAGTGGTAGAGATGGGCTTCAAACTCAGGGCCAATTCTAGTGTCCATGCATTTAGCCATTATGCTATATTGCCTCCATGAAAGAAAGGATGACAAGATCTAGCCTGGGCAATGGCTCATGCCTATAATCCCATCAATTTGAGAGGCTGAGGTGGGCAGATCATTTGAGATAAGGAGTTCGAAACTAGCCTGACCAACATGGTCTCTACTAAAAATACAAAAAAAAAAAAAATTAGTTGGGCATGGTGGCGTGCCTGTAATCTCAGCTACTTGGGAAGCTGAGGCAGGAGAATTGCTTGAACCTGGGAGGCTGAGGTTGCAGTGAGCCGAGATCGCATCATTGCACTTCAGCCCGGGCAACAGAGCAAGACTTCTTCTTCTTCTTCTTCTGAAAGAAAGAAAGAAAGAAAGAGAGAGAGAGAGAGGGAAGGAAGGAAGGAAGGAAGAAAGGAAGGAAGGAAGGAAGGAAAAAAGAAAGAAAGAGAGAAAGAAAAAAGAAAGAAAGAAAGAGAAAGAAAGAAAGAGAAAGAAAGAAAGAGAAAGAAAGATTTCAGAGAACAACAGAGTTATGGAGACTAGAGTTTGCAGGGGAGCCTGTAAATTGACCATAACAAAGTCAACTTTTTCTAGAGTAACAGTAATGATCACAGATGCCATTAGTTTTCAATTCAAAAGCCTTCTTCAGTGCTGACAGAGTTCTGCTTCTGTCTGTGAAGACTCTTCCACAGGTAATTCAGGTAAATCCTTACTGGTCTAAACTAATTTTAGCAGCGTGATCCCTCTTGTCTGTGATTGGTTCATTGGTGGGCATGTAATCCCATTAACTATTAAAAAGAGACAGCTGGACTTAATTGCTGGACTTGGTGGGTGAAGATGTGGTGTCTGGAGCTCCTGCAGCCATCTTTTCTCATGAGGGCTGTGACCAGCACACTGAGGGTGCTAGAATGAAAATATGGGAAAGAACTTGATTCTTGATGGGGTTGTTGAGTTACTAGACCATTCCTATATCAGCCCTTCTTGATGCTCAAATAATAATTCACTCCTATTGTCTAAGCTAGTTTGAATTGGTCTTCTATTTCTTATAGCTGAAAGTATTGTGATACAGTGACAATGAAGGTGGTCAAATAATTCTTGTCTTGCAAAGTGGCATAAAGTGTGAGGAACTTTCCTAATCTCTAGGAGCTACAACCCTGGCCCAGGTCCACTGACCTTTGGTCTCTAATGAGAATGATGATCTTGGCCTGGGTAATTACAGCTAGTGACCTGTAACATCATCTGAGTAAGCCTGCAGGACCTACAAAGGTACAGTCCTGGTCATCTGGAGGTTCAGTTTACTGAATGTTGGTTAAGTATGTCCATGGTGCTGGGATCATAAGGACAAATCAGACACAGTCCCTGACCTTAAGGAACTCACACTGCAGTGGAAGAGACCATCATTGACCAATGATGGGTGATGTACAGGTCTACACAAGGTTTGGAGGCTGACATTTGAGGTGGTCAGGCGAAATTTGGTACAGACCTTTTGAAGGATGGCACAAGAAGGATTAGAGAAAAAGACATTTCTAAGCAGAATGCACAGCATATGCAAATTTAGAGCAACACAACTTTCCCAGGGAAACTACTCATTTGGCATAACCTGAACGGGGCTGGTCACTTGCAGGTTGTGTGTCTCTGAGCAATTGACTTGTATCTGAGGCTCTGAATTTACATTTATGAGAAAAAATGGAGGGGGGGGAGAAAAATAAAAAAGAAAGGAATTACAATGGTTGCAAAATTAGGTAACAGAATATATATGCAAAACACAGAGCTTGGCATACATTAGATGCACAAGAAACATTCTTTCTTAGTCACCCATTATTGTCACATGGTTCTAATTCATTATCTTCTGTGACCCAGGTGGCTTTCTTCCCTTTCTCACTCATTCCTGAGCCTAGTAGCTAGGCCCCCCAACTTCCACAGACTTTTCCTCAGGCAGGAAACCTGAGCCCACTGCCTGGCCTAGGACAGCTTCTAGGGCTGTGTGGTTTGTGTTATTTCTTCTCTTTTTTCTCTCTCTCTCTCTCTTTTTTCCTAAATGCAACAAAATAAAACCAAACAAAAAGCCCAATGCCTGGCGTGGCTTGTCAGAGAGTTATGCAAGTGTGTAAAAAAATAAAATAAAATAAACATTGAGTTTTCGGCATTTGGGGCTGTTTGATTAGACACGGAGCAGAGCCAAGGGCCGGTTAGATGCAGGGAAGGCTCAGGGCAGAGGGGAGAGGGGAGGGACTTGAGAGGGGGTTGGAGGTTGGAGGGGGCCCCTGGACCAACTCGGAAATGGCTGTTTGCCTCCTGCAAACTTGGCAATGCTCTGGCTGAATGAACCCAGACACTGGGCATTTCGAACCCAACTGCTCCACTTTTTCTGGCTACCCACCATCCCTGTTCCCTGGCCATCAGGACACTCTAGGGGTCATTACATCCATTCTCCTGTCATCGTAAATGACCCTGTGCCCTTAAACTCAATAGTCAGGGTCCCCCCTTCTCTCCTAAGAGGGAGATTCCACAGCCTGTCTTGATTACTCACCCCCCCCCACACACAATCAGTACATCTTTTCTGCTCTAGCTTAACTCCCACTAACTATAGTTTTAGCCCATTTTCCTTTCCCAATCTGAAGTGAAGTTGGAGAACAGCTGTTTGCCACTCTAAGAAGTGAGTCTCGTTCCCTCCCTTCTTCAGGCTTGACTTCAACATCATCTGGGTCACTGCAGGTGTCTGTAGCTGTTCAAGACTCATTCCACAAACATTTATGGAGTTCCTACTGTTAACCAGGAGTTTGTAGCCTTCATTTCATTGAACCCTCAAAACAGATAAAACTTTGCGATTCAGAGAGGTTAAGTAACCTAGGCATGACCACACAGCTGGTAAGTGATAGAGCCAGACAAGAATCTAAGTGTTATTCCATGATCTCCCTCACTCTCACCTACCAGCTGCCTCTGGAGGTGTCCTCACCTCGGTGCCCAGGATCTGATAGCCTTGGTATTTCTTCTGTACTGGGAAGATGCACAGATTTGACCCTGAAGGGGGAGAGGGTGCGGTCAGGACCACCAGGCCCTGTTGAGCCTGTTCCTTGTCACTTTCCAGGTTCCTGATGGGGAAACTGGGGTTTTCACGAGGGTCTCCGGCCCCAGTTCTGACCCCAAGATGAGCGGAGTTGTTGCGGAAGCGGAGTTGTTGCGGGTTCTCTGGCTGCGTGGAATCCCCGGGGCGCGGGGCGTGGCAGGGGACAAAGACAGAGGGTCTGCCCCACGGTCCCGGGGACTTGTCCCTCTGCCAGTCCCGCGCTCGGAGCGCAGGGCGCCAGCTTCGGGCAAGGACGTGCGGACTCCCGGGCCGGCGCTCCAGTCCATTTTTTCTTGCGGATCCCTGGAAGGGGGGCCGGCTCGCGGGTGGGACTGCGAAGGGGGGGATTCCCTCCCTCGTGCTCGCAGAGGACTGGCCCCTCTCCGGGCTGGGAGCTCCGGCCGAGCGGAGGCGCGACGGAGAGCACCAGCGCAGGGCAGAGATCCCGGAGCGACCGGCCAGAGTAGGGCATTCGATCGGGTACTGCAGAGAACCAGGGCCGCTCCGGGCCGCCCCGGAGGACCGATGCGCCGGGTGGGGCGCTGGCCCCGAGGGCGTGAGCCGTCCGCAGATTGAGCAACTTGGGAACGGGCGGGCGGAGCGCAGGCGAGCCGGGCGCCCAGGACAGTCCCGCAGCGGGCGGGTGAGCGGGCCGCGCCCTCGCCCCTCCCGGGCCTGCCCCCGCCGCGACTGGCAGCACGAAGGTGAGTCCCCTCGTAGCTGCCCCGTCCTCCTCCCCAGCGCCCCCTTCCCCGGGAGCTGGGGCGCGGCGGGCCCTCCCGTCGGGGCTGGTTCGAGCTCGGTGCGGGGGGGAGACAGCGAAAGGAAGGGGAATGTGGTCGCTCTCCGGTCGGTGATCGGGAGAGGGCACCTCCTGCACCCCTTCCTGTAAGTCTGTCGCCCCCGTCGGCCCTCAATCGAGCAGGCAGCCCCCTCCCCTCGAACTCCCCATCATCCCGCAGCCCGGGTGATCGTCCTCACTTGCAGTCCTGAATTCTCCAAGTCCACCAGCCCTGTTTACACCCCGCCTCCAATCCAGAAGTTCTTGATCCCGGGTCGCACTGGTTTGGGTTCCCCCAAGTTCCACGGTCTCTGGTAACCCCCACCCCAGTCCACAGCCTGGGCCTGGGTTCGACGTGGCAGGCGGCACGCGCTGTGGCCCCCGGTGCGCAGCGAAGTGGCGCGGCTCCCTGGCCCTCGGGGTCTGGCGCTCAGGAACCGAAGGTATCGCTTAGTTGGGGAGAGGTGGGAGCTGTGTTCGCCCGGGACTCGCAGGAGGGCCGGGACGGACTTGGGGTGAGGGTGCTTGGGGGCGGGAGTTTTCTTGTGAAACTGGCCTCTCAGACGTGGACAGCTCTCTTGGCTCTTGAGGGCCAGCCGGGGGACCTCAGGTCCGCGTCTCCCTCGGCACCTGTTGGGGCCTCTGGGGGATGGTGGGGGAGGGAATAAGAATGTGCGCGCTTGCGGGGGTGATGGAGGGTTGAAGAAGCCATCCTCCGCTGCCCCTGCTTTTGGGGGCCGGGGCACGGCCCCCGCACCTGGCTTGGCTCCGACCGACAGGCTAATCCCGACAGGTCGGACAGGCACATACTTGGTCCCGCCCCCCGCCCGCAATTCTTCTGCCCCCGCCTGCCAGCCTGCTAGGAGGCCAAAACTGCAGCCCGCAGCCCGCCCGGGGAGGACTAATGAGAAATTATCTGGATAGTTTACATTTTTGGGTCTGTATCGGACACCTGATGGAGTACCACTTTATTCTGAAGGTGTTGCAGGCAAGAAGGTGAAGGTGATTCCAGCCCCGTCCCTGGGCTGAGTTTCTGCCCTCAGCTCCACCTGCAGCTGTGTTCCCCTCCCCAACCTGTGTCCTCCCCTCTGAGGCCCATGTGGCCTCTCTCTTTGGTCTTCCGTCCCAGCTCTGCCTCTGCCCCCAGCCCCGTCCCCACTTTGCAGGTCCACCCCACAAGCTGGATTGTGCCTCACTCTCCGCAGCTCCCTGCGGGTTGCCCTGCCCTCCCCACACCCAATCCTGGGTAGCAAACCCGAGGGCTGGTCCCTAACTAGGTCTGTAACCCCTGACCCTTAACCACTCAGGGCCAGGTCTCTTCCCCTGTAAAATGGAAATAATTCTACCTTCCTTCTTCCATTGTGAGGAGTAAAGGAAGACCTGGCACATGGCAGGTGGAGGGAGGCATCCAACGAGTGTGAATCCCTAACCCCCCACAGTGGCAGAGACAAATACCCTTTCTTACCCCTACCAATACCTGAGGTACTACCAGCAGTCCCCATTCTATCTGTGTAGAGCGAGCCTCAAAACATAAACTGCCAGTGCCATATAACCCAAGGCCCAAAGGAAATCAGACAGAGGACTCTAAGAGAAATGAGGCAGGCTGCTTAAAAGGGAGTCGTCAGCTCCTATCTCCTCTCTCAGCCCTAGTCCATGCTATCCGTGTCTGCAAGTGTGCGTGCCTGTGTGTGCACATATGGGGTCAGGGACTAGACGCAGGAACATGGAGCCACTGAGGCAGGGACCTGTGGCCCTCTGGGGCTTGGTGCTGCAGGGTTCCTAGTCTAAGACCTGTCCAGCATTTCAAATCAGATTTCATATAAGATCCTGGATTTTCTACTCCTCTTTTGAAAAATCAGAAGATCTGTCAACAATCAGTCAGAGCTGAACGGCATATGCTCCCTTTAGATGGGTCATTTACCCTCTAGTTTACCCCCTCCACATCCAGCTTCAATCGTACATGTCATTTGTACCCCCTGGTGTAGAGGAACTCTTAGCCCCTTTACAGGGTTGATTCTATATGTACCTTTTCAAAAAGTGCTTGCAACTCTTCCCATCCCAGAGGTGAGGGAGGCCAGTGTCACTTGCTTCAGTGAAATTTACATCTGGATCCTCCTTACGATTTCCCAGCTGAGATTGTGGTTTCCTGGTGATTCAGGTGGGAGTGGGCCAGAAGATCAACGCTGGCAAGGACTGGGTGAGTGTGGCAGGGGTCAAGCTGAAACCTAGGACCTGGGAGGATGGAGAAGGAATTCAGAGGGAGAGGAGAGGGAGGAAAAAGAAGGGAGCTAACATTTGCTGAGCACTCACCCTCAATTGCCAGGCACCATGACAGGTGGGCACAAGGAATGCAGAGATACATAAGGGAAATTCTGTGCCCCCCAAAAAATGCCAGGGATATTGATCACGCAGTGAGTCCAAAGTCTTTCAGATCCAGGGTTAACACCAAGTTTGTCTGATGCAGTGTTTGTCAACTGTAAGGATTCATGGAACAGATCTGCCAGGGATTCTCAGACCTTAGTGTGAGAAATGCTGCAATTAAAGGCAAATCCTATCACTTTGAGTGATCGCTTTGGTGTCAAGGCAATCAACCATAAAGATAAATGCCAATATGGAAATTGCATAATAGTGCCCAGTATTAAGGTTAGTATCCAGATGATACAGAGCATGTTCATATTGCCTTTTGAATGATCATTAGAATATAGACACAAAATGAAGCTTTGATCACAACAAATACAGCAAATATTATTGAGTCATCACTATGTGCCCAGCACCATTCTAAGCAGTTTTATGTATTAAGTTATAAACAGCAATAACCTTCTTTCAGATAAGAAAACAGGCTCAGACCAGCTAAGCAAGGTAACACAGCTAATAAGTAGCAGAGCCAATATTCAAAGCCAGGCAGTCTGACTCTGAAGTTTATGTCCGTGACAATCACGCTGTACAGCCAGCCTCTGAGACTACATTCTTGGGCCTGAAGACCCCAGTTTGATAAACTCAACTGGACATCTATAATTTGTGGGTGATAGAAGTGTGTAGTGGGGGCTGGGGAGGATACAAATACTTTGGTAAATCAGGCAGGGAGTACTGGAGGGGCGTGCAGAGGTTGGCAGCTGACGGGCATTTGGGGATGGCTGGGGGCATCTCCGCTGGCTCCGGCCACAGCACCAGGTGGGATCCATCAGCCTCATGTAAACACTTCTCACAGGCAGCTTAACCACTTGAGTGTGTCTGGCCTTCAAAGCCAGCGGGAGAGGCCAAGGAGGGAGGTACTGAACTCCCTTAGGGGATAATGATTTATCTCCCGTGCAGGTGGGCTTTGCTGGGGCCTCCCTGAGAGGTGAGGGGGTGGACTAGCACTGAAGAGCCTAGAGAGGAAAGGATTAGGATGGGGGTGGGAGGGGCATCTCCACTCCAGCACCTCAGATTTCTCATTCCTGAGCCTGAACTCTCTGACTCTCAGCTAGCCTGTGACATAGTCATGCTTGTCCCCATTCTATAGACGTGAAACTGAGGTTCAGCGAGGCTGCATGACTTGTTCAAAGGCATCTAGCCAGTGGAGGGGAAGGTGATGGCTCCCTGGCATCTACAGAGCCTCTGTGCCATTGACCTGCATGCTCTGTTGTGCTGTGGGTGTGTGTGGGAGAGTGTGGGGTGTGCGTGGGCAGGTCGCTGCTATGAAAGAACCTCGGGAGCATTGGAGCATGAGTGTGTGATCCCGTGAGGGGGCAGCAGGGTTTTCATTCTCACTCCCAGGTTGGGCTCAGATGTCCAACTTCCCAGACACATCTGATTCAGGGGAGGGACCGGCTCCCCTGCCCCCATCACCCCAGCCAGCCAGCAGGTCCAGAGACCTGGCTCTCGCTGGGCTGGGGGATTATCCCCATTCTCTGTGTCTCTGGCCAGGGCGGGCATTGCTGCCTCTTTTATCCTCTCACAAAGGCCAGGCCCGCCGGGCCTGCTGTGTCAGAGTTTCTGTGGCCGGGGGAAGCCTTACTTCCTTTTCTCCCGCCAAGCCCAGAGGGCCACGCAGAGTCTGCCAGCTTGCCGGGGGCCACTGCTCTAGCTCCAGGACAGGTGAAAGGCACATGGGTGACTCAGCCCCAGGAACAAAAGGCTGAGGGGTCACTCATGGAAGGACAGAGAGAGAGAGCTCCTCTTCAAAAGAGAGGATATTACTGCAGCATGAGGTCTGTAGGGTAGACTTAAGGAAGGACTTCCAGTTAGAGCTGGACAACAGGAAGCAGGGGTGGGACCAACTGGCTCCCGTTATTGAGAAATCATCAGTGATCCACAAGTTTGGTTTGAATGTCCGCCATATTCTGGCTACACAGGTTGCCGGCTCCAGTCCCAGGTTAGGGAGTTCTGCAAGATAGGAAAAGGAGCGGATTTCTTCTAGAAAGGTGCTAGGTAGGTAACTCATAATGTCCAAACATTTTGAGCTCCCAGTCTTCTGGGTAGGGCAGGAGGCATAGGTGGGAGGGTTCATAGTACTACAGAATTAACCCTTCTTTCTCCTCCCCTCACAGGTTGGTTTTTGGAGTAGTCCCTGCTGATGTGACAAAAAGATCTCTCATGTGATATTCTGAGGTACCTTTGAGGAAGTCTGTCTTTGAGGACCTCCCTTTGACCTGATGGAGAACTGGGCGCCCCACACCCTCTCTGTCCCCAGCTGAGATTATGGTGGATTTGGGCTACGGCCCAGGCCTGGGCCTCCTGCTGCTGACCCAGCCCCGGAGGTGTTAGCAAAAGCCGTGTGCTGTCCACCCTCCCTGAGACCACCCCTCCGACCAGGGGCCTGGAGCTGGCGTGTGACTATGCGGCTTGGGCTGTGCGTGGTGGCCCTGGTTCTGAGCTGGACGCACCTCACCATCGGCAGCCGGGGGATCAAGGGGAAAAGGCAGAGGCGGAGTGAGTAATGGAGCGTGGTGGGCCACAGCTGGCCTTGGAAGTGGGAGGGGGCCACCCGGGAACTAGGGGTCTTCAGGAGTTTTATTCCATGATGACCCTTGCAGATTTCCACTCTGTCTATTACAGCTTTGTAGATTACTCAGTAGATGATCCTGTTTGTGGATTATTCAGTTGGTGGATTAATTCGCTGAGATTACCCACTCTGTAGATGACTCACTTTGTCTGTTTTCCCCTTTGTAGACTCTGCTTTCTAGATTAACCCCTCTCTTGTGAGGATCCAGTTTGTGGATTACGCCTTTGTGGATTATGTGCTTTGACATAACACCAGCTTTGTGTGGTATCCATGGAGATGCTTCCCCAAACCCCCTGCCCTGGGGCTCCTTTTTTGGGTAAAGTGCAGCCATCAACCCTTCTGGGTTAGGAGCTCTGCACAGCTTAGCACTGGGTAACAGGGCTTCCCCTGCCCAGATCATGGGGCAGGAACAGTGGAGTAGGGAGGATCAGGAGACTGTCCACTGCTGTGACTTTTAAACCACGCCCAGTGGGATTCAGGGAGCTACAGTGGCATCGAAGGGGAGACAAGCAGGCAGGGGTCTGGCCTGACCACCCTTCAAACCAGAGCAGTCTCACTTTTCCCTGCTTTTGGTAATGAGCATCCACATGAGATGTCGTTGGAAGAGAGGGTTCTCATAGCTTAAAAAGAAAACCAAAATCCTATCATTGTACAGATGCTAAGAAAGGGGAAGAAACAGGTCTAACGAAATACAGTTGATGTTGGAACCCAGGTCTCCTAATGCCTGTGGGCCCAGTCTTCTTGAAAGCCGAATTTGATGGAGTTCAACGGTAATCTGTCCCCAGCCCCTTGATAGGCACTCCTCAACCTCTGCTTAAGGTCTCCAGTGATGGGACCCTAGTGCTGTAGGGGTGGCCACTGTGTGTGAGGGGCCCACACGAGGGAGAGGGTGGGGGACTCCAGAGTCCCAAGTCCTCATCTGTCTTTGGACATCTGCCATGAGAAGATGCCGTGCCCACAGGTAGGAGGTCTTCCTGAAGTCTAGCCCAGCCCCCTCTTGCTTCATGTTTCCCTGCAGACGGAGGCCCCCCAGTAAAGGTTGAAAAGCAGTGGGGTTTTGCCGGGGCTTCACGGGAGCAGCCAAGGCCAGGACTCAGCGCAGGGAGAGAAGCTCAGAGAACTGGTGAAGCTGAAAATCCCTGGCTTAACAAACAATTAGAGACAGTTAGGTTTAATCAGCAGCAAGGCCTTGATTTTCCTCCCTTCTCATCTGTTGTGGCCAGTATTTTGGACTCCATGGGCCAGATGCGGTTTAGCGGTTTATAATCAGTCTCCTCTATTTCCGAAATGAGAGAGAGAGAGACAGAGAGAGAGACAGAGAGAGAGAGAATAGGAGGAACCATTCACATTCAGGCAACGTGCACGTGTGCTTAACGCTGACCCTCACGCATGCAGAGCCTCATGCCCGGCTAAACCAGAGGTCACGGGACCTGAGTTCAAGTCTGTTGTATTGAAAAGGAAAGGAAGTACTAGACTTGGCATCAGAAAGGGCCTGGTCCTAGCGATGGTAAATCTCCTGCAGCAATTTTGATGTGCTTGCTCACTTTTCATACGGCCACATCTAACAGCCATGGCAGCACATGAGCCAGTTTTTATTACCCAGTGATGTAACAGACATCCTTGATGGTAAGAGGCAAGGGTTGGGAGAGGTGTGGAGACAGGCTCAGGGGTGCAGGGAGGGATGAAGGTTGTGCTGTTTGTCAATACTTGTCACATAACAGCCATAGTCATCGCAATCAGGAAGCTGAAATGTAATGTAAAGGAGGATAGTAAGGCTTACATGAGATTTTATATATATATATAGAGAGAGAGAGAGAGAGAGAGGAAAGAGAGAGAGAGTTTTGTTTTATTTTGTTTTGTTTTGTTTTGAGATGGAGTCTTGCTCTGTCACCCAGGCTGGAGTGCAGTGGCACCATCTTGGCTTACTGCAACCCCCGCGTCCCAGGTTCAAGCGATTCTCCTGCCTCAGCCTCCCAAGTAGCTGGGATTACAGGCACGTGTCACCATGCCTGGCTACTTTTTGTATTTTTAGTAGAGATAAAGTTTTGTCATGTTGGCCAGGCTGGTCTCGAACTCCTGACCTTAGGTGATCCACCCACCTCATTAGGTATATATTTTTAACACCTTTGTAAAACATCAAGTTCTGCGTAGACTCTGGGTGCAAATCATTATTATATAAACAATGTGTAGACCATTTTGCCTTAGGGATTCTGGGGAAGTAGAGAAGGGAAGAAAGAAGACCAAGACACCTGTGTGTGCCTGGCCTCTCGACAAGACAAGCTTGGAAGGGCACTGGGTGGACCTGGGGATGGGGGTAGGTGTGCTATGTATGAGCCTCAGGGCTGTTGACTCTGGCTGACAGTCCTCAGCTTCAGGGTAGGAGGGCCACCAGAAGCCACTCAATCTAAATCTCATTCTGAGCTATTATACACCAGTTTTGAAGCCAGACATGTCTGATCTCAGAGTCTGAGTGATGGTCTGCCTGCATGGAGCGAGAAAAATTGAGCAAAGAACTTCTCTTTAGCTGTGAGTGGTGAAGTCCCCTTGAAGTTCCCCTCCTCCATTCATTGAGGACCCTGCCCCTCCCTGAACTCCTGTTCACTAAGCCCCTTGTCTTCTTGCTAGCCCTCACCCCTGATCTGGGGTCCCTGCACCTTCCTGAGCCCTCATTCCCACTCATCCCTTGCACTGAGTGTGCTCCTTCCTGAGCCCCTTCTCCTCTCTGATTCTTGGGCCCCGTGTCTCAGTCCTGCCTCCTAGGAAGCCTCCATTCCTTCATTGAGCCCTGACTTCTCCAGAAGCCAGGAGCCCGCTTTGTGCCTCTTCTCACGGCCCCATCCTCCATCCAGAGCCTCTGCCCCTGCTGCACTGACAGCCTTACAGTCCCTCATCCCTCACTGAATCCCCGTTCCTTCCTTGGCTCATTCCACAAATGTTTATTGAGATCCTGCAAGCTGGCCCTGATCGCAGAGATGAATCTCGCGGGCGGAGGCTGCAAGCGAGTGGGGGAAGACAGAATGTCAGTCCAGTTCAGGAATGCTGCACGGGAGAAAACCTGAGGGCATGGAGAGCCCCGGGGAGTTGGGAGGAGGCACACAGTGTTCCTTTAGGAAGTGGGGCGCAGCTAGGAGTAGCTGGGGAAATGAATTATCAAGGGGGTTCTGGGGAGCCCTAGGATTTCCACTGGGGAAGCTGTGCTCATATGTTTTCTGTTGGAAAGAAGGGTTCTGCTGCTAAACAAGCCATCCAGAACCCACTAGGACAGAACAAGGAAGCTGTCTGAGGCTGAGGGGAGGGTCCAGGTAGAAGACACTGCAGGGTAGAGGTCAGGTCATTAAGCTCTTCACACCTGCCAGGCTGAGGAGTTTGGACGTGGCCTGACTCCAGCTACAGTGGGTAAGGAGGCACTGAGGCTTTCATCAGGGAGCCCAGAGCCCAGCTGCTGGGTGGGGGAGGTGGCTTGAGGTGGGAGGCAAACAGCCCAGGTAAGAAAAAGTGAGGATCTAAACTAAGCTCGCAGTTGAGAGCTTAGTTTAGAATCCTGGGTCTGGCTGGGCATGGTGGCTTACGCCTGTAATCCCAGCACTTTGGGAGGCTGAGGCAGGTGGATCGCCTGAGATCAGAAGTTCGAGACCAGCCTGCTCAACATGGCGAAAGCTTGTCTGTACTAAAAATACAAAAATTAGCCAGGAATGGTGGTGTGCACCTGTAGTCCTGGCTACTCGGGAGGCTGAGGCAGGAGAATGGCTTGAACCTGGGAGTCGGAGTTTGCAGTGCACTGAGATTGCACCATTGCACTCCAGCCTGGGTGCTAGAGCGAGACGGTTTCAAAAAAAAAAAAAAAGAGAAGAATCCTGGGTCCTACCAGCAGGACATACCCAGGGCTTTCTGAACGTGCAGGTCTCAGAAAGCCACAGGGATAGATCCACCTCCTGGGACAGCGTGTGGCCTGAGAGGGGCCCTGGCCTACTCACTTCCTCAGTCTCCTGGCTGAGGCCCTGCTCCCTATCCTCTTGCCCTCGCCAACTGAACTCAGGTCTCTCTCACCAAACCCAGTTCCTCCAAGACTAGATTCCACCCCAAAACCAAGATCATCACTCTCTGGGTCATGGTGAGTTCTCTCCATCCACCACTGTCCCTGACCCATCTCACTTGAGTCCCTCATCCATGTTCCATCCTGGTCCCTCCACTGTAGTGAATCTTCATTAAGATCCATCCATACACCACCCTTCATCTCAAGCCTCTGTCTCACTCACCATATCCTCAATCTTATAACCTTGTGGAGCCTTATCCTTTACTGAGCTCCCATTCAGAAATGATGGGCTCTGCCTGCCGAAGCTCTTTCTAGTGAGAGAAAAAGACACGTTAGCAGATAATATCAATACAAGGTGACGTTCGTCATGACAGATTCAAGTACTAGGGGTGTGGGAACACATAGAAATACTCCATTGAGACTCTGCAGGGAGGTGAGATCAGGAAGACTTCCTGAAGGAGGTGACTTTAGTTCTGAGGCTTGAGGGAGTTGGTCAGACTCAAAAGGAGGTGGAGAGTGTTCTGGGCAGAAGGACCAACTTGAACAAAGGCACACAGGTGTGAGATAGTGTGACATGTCCAGAGAAACAAAAATGGTTTGATATTGCTTAGGAGTGGTGCTGAGGGGTAACGTGGATGGGATGAGCCCACAAAAGCTTTTAAGGTCAGGCAAGGAGCTGGGTCTTAATTCTGTAGGTGATAGGGAGCTATTGATAGATAAGAGGAAGGAGTGTAAAACAATCAGATTTTTAGTTTAAGAAAGATTCCTGGGGATGAAGAAATTGGGAACTGGAAGAAATGAAGCCCCTAGGGAGGAGGAGCAGCGATCCAGAACCATTCTTCAAGGGGTGTGGGACTGAGCTGCCCTGGAGCATTGCCTCATCATAGCCACAGC